TCCCCCTTCCCAGCAGGGCAGCCCGGCTCCCCACGCAGCGCCCCGGGAAGCTCCSGGCCCCTGTCCGGCTCTCCCAGCTGGCAGCATCTTGTGCTCGCAGGCAGCTGTTTGCTACCACCCATCATCRAGAATGTAAATGTTATTTCCTCTGCGATTTAGCAGCGTATTCTGCAGCTTCTGGCCTGGCTCGGTTGTCCCCCCRCCACCATTAGACTATTTTTAACAACTCTGAGGGGATCGCACGTTTTAGCTCGCCATGKCTGGAAAAGCAAAGCGAGCAGCGATGCTTGGGGCTCTGTTTGGAAGTTTCTTTCTAGACCGTGTCGCCTGTCACGTCAGCGTTGTGCTCGGTGGCTTTATTGCCCTCGTGTGAAATGACCAGCGATGACAGGCGCGTGTGGTCGAGGCACCTACAGCTTCTCGCCCTATGKTTGGAAACACGCTGGGGCTGAATGAAGCGAGGCTGAAGCCCTTCCATAATAACCTCAGTGTTTTATGCAGAGCTCAGATGGAGTACCACTTTTTAATGCAAAATAGAAAAAAATCACTGGGAGGTTTGTGCCCAAGTTCAGCTGTAGCTCAAGCTGGAAGTGCCTTAAAGGTCATAGGATTTCTGTTTGGCATGAAATACGGCCCGAGTCTAAAACCCAGGGGATTCTGTGGCATTTAGTCTAAATGTACTAGAGATTTACAGCAGGCCAGCTAGTGCATTAAATGATCAATAAGTCTTGCTGCGAGCAGATCAGAGACTGAGCTCTTGGCTACGTGATGGTCTCCCGTGGGAGCGCCAGGCGCATTGGTTCTGGAGGAGCTTCCCAAACTTTCAGAGTCCTATTTAAGATGCACTTAAAGGGAAAAAAAAAGCCTCTTTCACTGAAATGTGAAATGCCCTTCTCTAGCTCAGGGGATTTGCTAATCCCCAGGCTTCAGCAGGAAAAACAGCCCGTTGTTAACTCCGCTCCTGGTGCTGTGGTGCAGCARCCTCCCGCTCGGCTCGAGCGGAGTGTCCGAGCCCCGTCACAGAGGAGGGGCACGGGGGAGCAGGTGACCCAGCGGCCTCCTTTGCCTGTCCCTGCTGTAACTCCTTCTATCAGTGATTTACTCTGATCTTGATGTGGATGTAACGTGCTGATCTTGAAAAGGTTGTGATTGATGATCCTGAAAACGTCTTGAAATCAGGAAAAGATCCATGAGGTCCAGAGGTTTCAGTCCAGTTTCGTGGTGCGTTTGTATAGATTAATCACCTTCAACGAAAGGGAGCCAGTCATTAATAGACTGAAAACATGATCCTTGTTTTCTAATGCAGCTGTTAATGTATTTCAAGTTGAACGATTCTGCTGGTGTAGGTTGTTTTCAGTGGCCTTTTAATGGCAGTTATTGATTTCATTCTTTGTGTGCTGATACTGAGCTGCAGGAGCAAGAGCATCACTCTTGACTGGGACTAAGTTTTTGTGCTTTTAGACTTCTTTTTTTGTGCTTCTTAATCATTAGCCTTGTGATATCTGAGAAACTGTCTTGCTGTTTTGTGGGTACCTATGAGAGTTGAGTCTAACTTAATCTTGCTGCTGGGGTCACTTCTGTATCCTTAACAGTGGAATTTGAATTCTGATGTTGATGTAATCTCTTTTTATGGATATTGCCGTAACTTGAACATAATTGCACGTGTTTTGAACAACGACACGAATATACATACGCTGTGTTATTGGCAATCAAAGTGATCTTGTGGCAGTGAGCAGGATCAGGAGCTGGAGCGTACGAAGGGTGTTCCGGCTGGCAGGAGTCAGCAGGTACCTGCCGCGTGGCTCTTTCCTCTCTAGGAGAGGAATTTTAATTGGTATTTCAGCTTTGTGTAAAGCAGAGAGCACTGTTCTGCAAGGAGAGATTCTGGGGGAGACGGGCTTTGCTTGCAGGCCCTGGAGGGGCAGGATCTGCAACAGCCCCTCTTGTGCAATGGGAAACTCATGTGCAGGAAGGTGGCTGCAGGGAGACAGAGCTCAGCGGGGATTTCGTAATTTATGACAAAATACYTTTTGCAGAGCATTTCTCATACACCTGAGTCATTCTGAGCCTCGCCATGGGTGCGAGAGCAGAAGGTGATTGCTGAGCTGSGCTTTTATAGATTTTCAAACACTGGTGAATTACTAAAAGTGCTATCTTGGGTACGTTTCATTGGTTGCAGGCCAGTCTATTTGCATTAGATCATGGGTTTTGCTTAATGCACAGTGTGATAAAGGTGACTTTGTGTTTGTCGTGGTTCACTGCCATGGCTCTCATAAATGTAGACAACGCAATTTCTTGGCAGTTTATTGCCAGGAGATGCAGCCAAGATATTACGATGGCAGTCTGACTTCCTATTCAAATTTCACCCTGAGATCATCTCAAGCACAGTTTTCTTGCTGGATTTGAAAGCCTTGGGCTGAAAGATGCTCTGTTTCTTCAACTTTTCTGTGCACTAGCTTTGTGTGGGTGAATCATGGGCCAAGCCCCATGGATGATTGTGACACTGCGGTCATGGGGATGACCCCATGTGCAAACATGGGGAAATACTGGAATGTTGCTATCCAGGAGTGTCTCTCATTTAGGTGTAGCTGAAGCCAACAGTGTTACTGTGTTGCTGGATAATGTTATTTAATAGAGATGGTACTGGGGACCACAGCATCAAATAGYGGGCCCCAGCTCTGCGGTCTGCACCACTGCACTCTGGATTGAGTGGGGATTGCGGGGGCTGTACCACAGCATTTGACTGTTGCCTTTTCTCCCTTGACACGTAGGTGTTAGTCACTGGGGTAGGAGCTGGCCCCAGCTTTCCTGCAGCACCGGGAGGACTTGCATGCACTTCCCAAAGGCAGCCGAGTACYCCTGTTGTCGACCTCCCATGGAAAGCTGCCAGCCCTGTAAATTCCTCTCAGTCTTAGGAGCATGCATGTGTTGCCAGCAGCTGCACGGCTCTGCATTACAGAATTTGTCTTGGAGAGCTGTGTTTATCCATCCGACACCCCCGAGCAGGCTAGAAAAGTATGCAAGAAATCTGGAAGCTGCAGCTGGGGAAGCAGCGTTGGCTTCGGCAGCTTCTGTTGAGTGCTGGGCACCGAGTTATCTCCCTTTCCTCCCCTTCAAGCATCAAAAAGTGCTGCAGGGCCGGCCACTTCACATCTCTGGTGCCCCTGTTTCCAGCTGCATGGACTCCTTCCTTGCTTTGCTGCCTGCATGGGTGGTTTTCTTGCTTTCTTTATACTATGATTATAGATGTGGCAAAAATAGGAGCTGTTTATCCAGACTCAGTGCCAGAGTCCTAAGTTTACATATCGGGCTCGCCACTGCTTTTGAATAGCTTGAGAGCGGAAAGGAAATTTTAGTTTATTTTCTTTTGTTCACAGAGTTAGGATTTGAGGACATCAGTGTTTCATTTCTTTCTTGTATTGTTTCCTTTTTTGGGGGAAAGGATCTGGGTCGTCTCCTCTCCCACGCACCAGGAAACGAGCAGTGGCCTGTGGTCTGCAGAAGGGATGTCTGCAAGCAATGACTCTTCCTACCTCTGAAAGGGCTCGAAGCCCTTCCTGGTGCTGCCGGGGCTGGGTAGCCAGCAGCAAGTTCATTTTATCTTTTGCATTTATATCTCTGCTGCTGCTCCTGAGGGCTGCAGGTAGTGCCGTGCTCACGTTAGGGAAACGCGGCCCGCGGGCTCGCTACGTCGGCGAGTTCTGCTCCCATCCGGTCATGCTCAGCGCCCCAGGAGCAGCTCAAGCGTGCTGCTATGCTTCCCATTTTATTCTTAGAAACGCTCTTGTAATATGATGCAACTTTAGGTAAAATGTGCAATATGAAGAAAATAAGTAGCACCTGTAGTTTTAGAAAAAAATTCATAACTGTACGTGTRTTTATATATATATTTTTTAGTGATACTTCYCTTATACAGTTTACCATAGCTCATTAGTGAGAAGTAACTTGTTCTATTAGTCTAGACGCTGAGTTTAAACATATCTTTTGTGTAAACACTATGTGCATGAAGTACTTGTTTGGACATCCACTATTAACCAAGCTGAATGTCCCTCATACAATGGTAGGAATTGTTCTGAAATGGAGTTTGTGGGGCCTGGGACAAAATATGCAGCATGAATCCGGCTGGGCGCTTAGCGCGGGGCCTTCCGCCTGTCCTGCTGTCCCGACTTTTTTATTTAAGTCATTGTCCCAGACTGCAGATAAGTGAAATGCCTTTCTTAAAATATTGCTTTCAAATTTTTAATAGCACCAAAGGCTAAATTGGTTGCAGCTGTTGCGAAGATTTTAATATATCCAAATAAAAATCTCCGTACTGTTCTTAAACAGAAAGTTTTCTGACAAAATGAGAGAGATGAAATTATGCTTCCTAGTTGAGACTGGGGAAAGATTTGTGGAATTAGGATAGAAGGGTATCTGCAGGCTCTATACATGGGGAGGGGGAACATTTGTTTTTAGAGGGTGCATGAGGATTATGTCTTTTGGGGCACTGCTCGAGGAGAAGGGGCTGCCTCAGGAAGGCTCCAGTTGCCCTCAGTTCAYGTTGCACCCTGGTGCTCGGCTCTCCTCAAGATATAGACCATAAGTGTCATGTTAGGGCTAAGCACTTAGGCTTTTTTAATAARTATTTGCAGAGTTGAGCAAATAACTTTTTCTAAGACACTAAAGTTGTACTCAAAAAAATCCTAAAGAAGTCAGTGAATTGGCATGTGTATAATGAGCAGAAGATGCCAAAAATCAGTCTGTGGAAGGTCATTCCTGTAACTTATTCCTCCCAGAAGAGGAAGGATTGGGGGAGTGAGGAGGTAAATGCAACTAAATAAACATAGATAGATGTCAGCTGTTTCAGCTCAAAACAGAACAAACAAAAATATTGCTTAATTATGTAAACAGAAAAGCAAAAGATTTGTCATTGGCTGTAGCAAAAGCTACACGAGCCCTGCGTTACCTGGCTTTGTTTTGTGTTCCCAAACTCTTGGTTGCTGTGCTGGAACCACAGCTGAGAATTCCCTGCTGCTGACCACAGGCCTGGAAACCTCAGGGAACCCCCGAGGTAGATCAGTGTTGCGGTGCTCAAGAGTGTTTCTGCTCAAACAGGAAAACTCAACGGTAAGCTCATTTTGTAACCCCAGCCGCGTTCCGGAACGGCCTTCAGCTTGTGATGAAATTGAAAGGACTTTTGGTGGGCAYCTCCTGCCGAAGGGTTTTACCCGCAGTGTTGGTGCCGTTGGCAGCTCCAGAGCGGAGTCTCCATCTGGGAGCGCGAGCGTTGCAGGGCAGCAGCTCAGGGCGACTGTTTCAGCCGCTTCCTGGARCTGGGCAGGCCGGAGAAAGAGAGCGAGACTTTAGCCACCAGGTGACAATGTGAAGGATCACATCAACCCTCGGTCTGAACAAGGTGAAGTTAATGCTCTCTACATTCAACCAGAGTCATCGTCGTATCCCGAATTCTTCTCCCTGGTAGTTTTGCCCATGGGAAATGAATCTCATTTTATTGGGGCTCCTTTTCTATGTGCAAATGCCACCTCACTTGATTGTCTAGAGGCGCTTAAGCAGACAGCTGTAATTATTACCTGCCAAGTCATCTCTCGTTTAACTTGCAGCGGTGTCAGAGCACAGAAAGGAGCCGRATGCGGCCGTGATTTTCCAGGCGACCTCGGGGAAGCCTGGGAGCTCTGGCCTGTCTTTCTATGCTGGTCAAGATGATGTTATTATCTGTTGGACTCTTTCCAAGTGGACACGTGAGCAAATAGAGCGTGGTGGGAAGGAGTCAGCAATGCTCCTGGAGAAGGAGGCCGAGGAAACTAAACTCGTAGAATGAGGAAAAAAGGACTTCTGGCTTACATAATTGTTTGCAAAGCAGCTATTTAAAACAGATAACAAACACGTGTCTGGAATATAAAGGTAGGTCTTGCAGTAAATGTGAGTGACAGAGGAAATGCTGCGGAATCCGCGCTGAGCAACACAACCATAAACTGCACCAAGAGGGGAGAGCCAAGCGGCAAAGTCCACGGGGCAGCAGCGCCCTGAGGGATGGGGCTGCTGAAACGGCCCTGTGTCGGGAAGGGACAGCCCAGGCCTGGGCAAGAATTGGGCTTAAGTTAACTGCTGCTGTTTAGAAAAGAGGACTTGGAGTTATAAGAGCAACTTCTATAAAAGCACTGCWTTCAAGGTCATAAAAAGTAAATGAAATGTTAAGAATTTTTAAGAGAGAGACTGAAGCAGAAATAACACTGCTGTAGAAGTACCCAGCAGGATAAAGCTGTGGGGAGTCTGCCTCTTTAAAACACTAGTTCTGTTGTCTCTGAAGGATATAATAAAAYAAGAAGAGATCAGAAGAGGTGCTGAGTAGGGTGCGAAGGTGATCGTGGTACAAGGCCCAAGCCGGGCTCAGGGCCACCATCCCAATACAGGACGGATCCCGATCGGCAGCAAGTCTCTCACAGGAGAAGCTGTTTGCCCAGAGAGGTGGTGCTGGCGAAAATGGCACGGGTTCAGGAAGCAGAGAGGCAAATTAAGAGGGAAAGTCTATTAAGGGCTATTAAACTTAATTACTGCACGTCTGACTCAAAACTGCGGATTATTGGAGGCTGGGAAACTATGATATAATAGCCCTGTGTGCTCGCTGTGTTTGGGTGCTCTTCCCTCAAATCCGTGGCCAATGAAGTCAGGATATCGGGGCAGATGGGAGCTAGATCTAACCCAGTTAGGCTGTTCCTCATTTCTGGAATGAAATTGGCCATGCTCCTAAAATTATGTTAAAAGTTTGCATGTAAAAATTACAAACTTGTTCAGAAAAATATGTTCCATTGAAAAGAATGTGCATGTCTGGTTGGGGAGGTGGGTTTTGTTTATTTTTATTTGGTGTTCATGGTACGTGCCTAAGGCTGCAGGACTAGGAGGCTTCAGAAGCTTTAAGTAACTGGAAATTTTCTTTGAAATATAAACAGATTCTGCCTCTTTTCAGATACACCAGTGCTACTGGAATCTTACCGCTGCTTTGTAGACTCTGACGTGCTGTGAGAGACTGTAGGGATGGGAGGAACTTCTGACTATACTTGTCCTCTGTATCTTAGAAACCAGAAAGAAAAAAAATAGCAAAAGGTTCATAATAATTCTGCTCCTGGCTCCTGTCTCAGCAGCAGCAGTTCAGCACCGGAGATGAGGGCAGGGCTGAAGGAAACGCTGGGTGAAGGTATTTGTTAYATAACAGCAGCTCCCGGGCTCAAAACTTCCTATTGGAGCAGAGCATTGAAATCTCAACGCCAGGAAGTTGATTAGGGAAGAGCTGCTTTGGATCCTCCTTTCTGCATCATGGTAAAATCCACTCCAGGATCCACAGCAAGATGGGGACATTGACGCTCGTAGGCATCAGCGCAGCCGCGATGGAAACTTCCCTGTCTGCRGTCCCGCGAAGGGTCGAGGTGGGACCCAGGGCAACTTCCCTGTATTGGCAGCTGAAATGTCAGTCTCTTTTCCTTTAGTTATTGGKCAGATGTTGCGTTCAGCTTCCTGAAACCGGAATGAGAAGTTAYAGCAGTAAACGTGGCCATTTTTCGTATGTGTCTCGTCGCCAGCCGCGATCGGTGCCGCCACTTCCTACGTGAAACGCCCGTGTTTGCTGYGACCTGCAGGTGCGTCACGAAACCTCGCGGCAAATACTTGTGTGCAGCCTAGTTAGACCTGGATAATAAGGTGGGTTTGGCAAAACCCCCCTCTAGACACAGGTCAAAATAAATTGGTAAAGCCCAATGTAAACAGAAAACTGGCAGCCTCTGGGGAAAAGTAGTAAGATTTTACATAAAACCACGTTTTTATGAGTAGTGGTTTTGAGGCAGGTTTAAACAACACATCTGATTAACTCRTGAGCGAACCTTTGACCACAGTAATGTCCCTGGGAGGCTTGGCATTGAGGGCAGCCAGACGAGATTTTGCTGCTTGGGAAGCAGTCGCTGCCACTCACCGGTGACAGCTCCGCTCCCGCGTGCAGCTCAGGAGGAGCAGCAGCTGACGAGCAGAACAGCAGTTTGGAGAGGAAAAAAAAAAGAGAAGATAAAAAAGAAGATAACTCCAAACTTCCTCAGTGACCTTCGATAGAAATGACACTTGAGTTGCACTGATTAATAGATAATAGAGATAGGATTTTTTTTCCCCTAGGCAGGAAATAGGCACGATATATGCGAGTAGAAATGAAAAGGAGTCACAAGATAAAAAAAGGAGCAGGTTTGCAAACTTATTTGTTAGTGCCTTGATAATCCTGATAACGAACTAGAAATTCCTTTCTGCCCTGTAATGCCGATAAGTGAGTCCCATGGCGCTGGTGACGGCAGCTGTGCAACCCCTGTCCTTGAGCCCTGCACTCCGGCGGGACGGAGGCTCCAGTGGTTCCCGCTCCGGGAGCAGCAGCGGGTGGGTGATGCATGAGCGGCTCCCGGAGCAGAGCTGGGACACGGCCCCCGGGCCTGGCAGGCCAGCCTGGCTGAGTCCTGCACGTCCTCAGCTACCGCGAGTGGCCCAGGAGCTCCTGCGAGGACTCCCGGATCTGCCGCGGGGCCGGCTTTCAATGATCATGTTCCCTGTCCCCTTGGAACACAGTGCCTCACGTTGGAGGATTTTGCAGAAGTCTGCATTAAAGTAAAAAAAAAAAAAAGGATTCTTTTTGGACCTCAGTATGAGAAATCCTTAGAACATCGGCCAAGCAAAAGAACAGGTTCCAAAGTTGGTGGCAATAGAGGCTGGGATTTCCTAAATCCATCAGCTTCTGACTGTTCCGCACTGAATGTGCTGCTGTGCTTCAATCTGACCCTTGTACAAAGCAGCAGCAAGTCTATATTTATGCCGAAGCTTTCTGTGAAGCCCCTCTTCCTTGGTATTAGGGCATCTAGGTATTTCAGTTCAAGGAGAAAAAGCTTTCTTATTTTGATGAATTTGTTTAAGTTTTGGAGCATTAGAGTCATCACAAAGACACTCTAGCTAAGTAACATCTGCAGCACATGAGCTTTTGCAGGATGGAAAGTGGTACAGAACCTGAAGAACTTGAATTTGTGGTAGGATCCCAGAGGGCATGCTATATTTCTTTTTAAATTAACTAAAAAAAAAACGGAATTGTCTGATTTGGTCTAAAGGTTATAAAACAACAATTGGTAACATAAACCTCAGATCCTTTTAGTCTTGTCAGTTAATTTGGTCTATTAGTGCTAAAACGTACAGGAAACAAACCTTGCTCTTGGTGCAAACCGCAGGAGCCCGTGGCTTGATGGTGCTTCTTGGCCCCTTTGCAAACCACTGTTGTTCCTGTTGCTCTCTGGGCTGTGCAGGGGCCCTCAGCACTGCCATAGATATGCAGGTTCTGAAAAATAATAACACCCTTAGCAGCTGTATCGGTAACACCCAGCCTGGTGGCTCTCTGCTGTGTATTTATGGTGCCTGTTGATCGAAAGCTGTCTTCTCGGGCTGCCTCTCCGGTAAATATTAGCCAAGCGCTGTGCGGACTGTGGTAACCGAAATTTCAGGGTGGAATGAAGTTTGACCCCTGCTGTTTGGTTGTAACCGTTGGCTGTAGCGTTTTGTCACTTCTTACAGATTTCAGCCGCTGTCAGCTTCTCACACAAACCTAGTTTCAGTCTAGAGCCTGTCCTGGAGCTTGTTGTCAAAGGAAGATAAAGGAGGGGTCATCCTAGCTGGAAAAACAAGCCTTGGAGCCTGCCATCAGTGGTGACAGGTTTGCAGGACGGAAGCCTTTTTTTTCCCCAAGTTTCAAGAGCACGTGGTCATATTTTCAGTAGGACCCACAGTGCTTTTATTTCCATTTTGCTCAGCTGTGTTGAGAGCTTCTGAAGGTCTAGCTATTTGTCATGATCCAGAAAGTTTTCTGGAACTTATTTGCCATTGAGCCTGGTTATCTTGTTGCAGATTAGCCTTCTGCCTCCTAAACTGCGTCGCTGCCAACGTCTAAAGCCTGTTTATGACACTGGACCCTTTTGTGTTTGCTTTTTTTGGTAGGATAGAGCCAGACATAATCCCTAAACCGAATATCAAAGTAAGCAAGCAGTGATTTGAAAAATCTGTGACAAAGTAGCTTTAAACTTGAGCACTTTTTTGCTCTTCTG